GTCTCCCTTCACCCACTTTTCTGTTGTCCATCCCCCAGGGAGGAGGTCATATGTAGTTCCTTTTAATCGCTTCCCCCTTTCTACCCCACCTTCCTTCTACCCTCCCGGTATCACTACTCTCAGCACTGGTCCTGAAGGGATCATCTGTCCTGGATACCCTGTGTTTCCTTTCCAGTTAGTGTCTGAGGTCTTAAAGGCTTGCAGTTAAATAAGCAGCCATCTAGCAGGGAAGCAAATAAGCCCACATGGAAGAAGCACACTAGCTTGTGTGATTATTAGGTGTCATTGGGATCAGAGATAAGGTATCAAAAGATCCCAAACAAACAACTGTTATCAATGCGAATGAGGGGGTTGCAGTCTAGACCCAAAGCCCACCTGTAGACAATTGGATATCCGCCCCACAGAAGGGTTATAAGCAAGGGATGATTCAACGGAGGTACAGTACAACAACGACGACGACGACGAAACACACATCATTCCTCTAGTTCCTAAATGTTTCCCCCACCCCCACTACCATGACCCAGTTTAACCTTACAATTCTGGATAGACCGGAGAACATACATTGGTACAGGTAAGAGCTCTCAACACATGGAATTCAGGACAGATAAACTCTTCAGGGAACAATAGTGGGAGTAGTGATATCATGAGGGTAGGAGTATGGTGGGGAGGGGGAAGGGGGAGAAAAGGGGAACCCATCACAAGGTTGGCTATATAGCCACCTCCTGAAGGAAATGGATAACAGACATATGGGTGAAGAGAGACAACAGACAGTGTAAGATACGAAATAATAATAATACATAATTAATCAAGGATTCATGAGAGTGGGAGGGAGGGGAAAAAAGAGAAGCCTATACAAGGGCTCAAGTAGAAAATGTTTTGGAAATGATGATGGCAACATATATACAAATATGCTTTGATACAATTGATGTATGGAGTTTTATAAGAGCTATAAGAGCTCCCAATAAATTGATTTAAAAAGAAGAAGTGGTAAGACTGCACCTTGACAAAGGTGGAAAATGTAAGGCCTGCAAAAACAAGGCAACCTTGGCAAGTCCTGGCTCTCACAAGTTTCATGGTATTAACCCTATTTTACAGATTACAAAACTGAAGCTTGCGGCAATTTAATCATTTACGCCTTGGTGGCATAATAGGTTATATGTTAGGCTACTAACCACAAAGTCAGCAGTGCGGACCCACTAGCCACTCCTCAGGCAAAAGATGAAGCTTTCTGCTCCTGTAACGATTTACAGTCTCAGAAAGCCACAGGGGCAGTTCCACTTACTCTGCCCTATGGGATCACTGTGAGTCAAAATTGACCCAATGGGAGTGAGCTTTTTTGAGCCATGTTCACATACCTAGGAAGAGATGGGGTTTAAATCAGTTCACATTCCAGGGCTAGAACCTTATTAAATATGCATATACTTCTCCCCAAAGCTTTGTTTGGTCAGAGAATTTCTCCGATCCAAATGAAAATAAAGTACCCTAGTAGGGGCCTTATTGATTTGGGATGTCAAGAGAAGGAGATAACTAATATAGACCTGCAACTAAAGAGAAACTGAGGTACTACTAGCAACAAAAGAACTGCCCTGGGCAACACAAACCCACAATCTATCATTGTTTATATATCTGCCTTAGGGGAGCTATCCAGCTAGCCCTGTCTAGACAGGCCAGAGAACTCTGGCTGGATTTTGAACATGCTTTCTAAATCCTTAAATTCAAAAATCAGAAGAAGAAAAAATTCAAAAATCAGAACAGCAAATATTTCAGCAACAAACAATAATGACATAAAAAGGCTAAAATTCTAACAAACAAGGATAAAGCATATTCCAAATGTAGAGGGGGAATCACATAAAACATTTGTTTTTGTTTATCTAATGGCAACTAACTTGAAATCTAGAGGCTGAAAAGACCCCTGGGAAGGGAAATGGGTACAAACAGGATGGTGATATTAAAAAATGGGACATCTGGCCAGAAAAGCAGCAGGGACTAGCGTACTTCTCAGAGCGTATCTCCAGGAAGGAGCTATGGTACGGCAGATTCTTTTGGCCCAAGAATAAACACTGCACATCTAGTTAAGCTGTTCCTTGAGAACTAGGATACAGATAGGAAGATAAAAAAAGTCAATAAACTTCATTGTTTATGAACTCAGTTAAAAATATAAATTTTAATACCTAATATATTCAATATGTAAAGATTTTTAGAAATTAAGCTTAAACTCTATTCAAGAAAAAAACCTTTCCTTGATCTAAAAATGATTGTTAGCTAATAACAAATTTCAACATGATAGTGATTAATATAAAGTCACTGTATTTTTTGCTTCCCAGAATTACTCTTTTGGTAGATCTATGACTTTTATATACCCTATCTGCCTTTTCCAAATAACTCCCACTACGAGTTTTAAATATACACGTATATTTATGGAGCAAACCCTTCCCCAAAATGTGAAAAGATAATCTGTGCTCAAAAGATGTAAACACGAACCTGGGCACTGGATTCTCTTATAACACATCACTTTACAGGTTTGCACTGGCAAAATAAAAACACATAATAACCATTTCTTTCTAGATGGAAAATAGGCTTATTTTACTGATTCCATAGTTAGAAGAGATTTAAAGTATTAAGCATCTCAAAGTTACAGTTAAGAGCTAGAGGAAGAACAATTATTTTGTCTTAAGGCAGGCTCCTCCAGAAGTAGACCCCAAAATGAATATTTGAAGGGAAGCATTTTATATGGGATTGGCGAAAGAAAAATCATTTGGCTCCCATAATGATTTAAAGTTAGAAACCCAATGGGGCCGGTTTTACTATGTCCTATAGAATTGCTAGGCATAGAAATTGACTGGATGGCAGAGGGTTTGGCTTTAGTGTGTGTGTGGGGGGTGTGTGGGAGGTAATCCCAGGAAGTCCTAGTGTAGGGGACTGAGGAAATGACACACAGAGGAAAGGAAGCACTACAGGTGCATTAAGAAGCAAGATAAAAGTGTGGGTCCTGGCTTCTCTGGAAGACTAAGAACAGGCTGCAGTATTGTGCCACCTGAGCAATGAGGAAGTGACATATTTATCTGCCAACTTTGTGTCTTACTGAGGGCGGCTCCCAGAGCTATGACTCAACACTTGTAGCCCGCCTCATCTAAGAATTGGGCATGCTCTGTGGCCAGAAGAAAGATGCAGCTGCAGCTATGTATGGAAACAGTGAATGCAGGCAGCATCTACTACATAAGCTTTTTGATAAAACATTACTAAAAAAAGGTAACTCTTGTTAACTGTAATTTAAAAAACATGACAATACATATTAAAGAGCTTCAAAAAGTTGACCAAAAAGATGAAATTAAAAGATAATGGAATTTCTCCAAGAACGTTTTAAATCCCCTTGGTTACCAGTAACTGTTAAATCTGACTAACTTTAAAGTTAGTCCAGGCTTAAGAGTTAAATCACTTTAAATTGAAGTCAAACCTCAGCTGGGATATTAAAAGACTTCCATCCAGATGGGCATCAAATGCTTTGCAGATATTTTATTCATCTGTTAGCCTTGACTGACATGAGCATCAGTTATCTATTCCACCTGACTATATTCAGTAAACTGGTATCGTTTGGCTAGTATCTCTAGTCCCTCCTTTGTTTTATGTACTTGATTTTACACTCTCTCGTAAGTGTAAACAACAAACAAAATAAAATCTACTCGGGTGGCTTTTTTAAGGGCTAAGAGCTAAACACACATACACATAAACCTTTAATAAGTACTTGCTATCAAAAGTCAAACCCTTCATTGTCAAGTTGATTCCAATTCATGGTGATCCTATGTGATGATACTGACTAGAATGGCTCTATAACAGTGGTTCTCAACCTTCCTAATGCCGCGACCCTTTAATACAGGTCTTCATGTTGTGGTGACCCCCCAACCATAAAATTATTTCCGTTGCTACTTCACAATTTAATTTTGCCACTGTTATGAACGGGCCACCCCTGTGAAAGGGTTGTTTGACCCTCAAAGGGGTCGAGACCCACAAGTTGAGAATCGCTGCTCTATAGGGTTTAGGGTCCCTATGAGTCAAAATAGACTCAATGACAGTGAGTGAGTTTTCCTACAGTTTTTTGGCTATAACCTTTAGAGATACAGACAGCCAGGCCTTTCTTCCACAGTGCTACTGGATACAGTTAAACTTTTCAATTAGTAGCCATGTATAAAACATTTGTGCCACTCATTGCGCTATTAAATAAAAACCCATCACCACTAAAAAAACCCAAACAAACCCTTGTTATCTAGTCAATTCTGACTTATACCGGTTATAAGACAGAGTAGAACGGGCCCAAGGCAGTAAGCTCTGTGGAAGCTGATTAGCACATCTTTCTTGCATGGACCAGCAGGCAGGCTTATGCACTATGAAGGATCATAGCATGACCACTGCATCACAACACTGTCTTAAGGATCTGTTACGTAGTAACCTCTTAAATAACGTTTTTTTCCACCGGTGCCATCTGATAATTCCTAGAAAGATCTTAGATTATATATTTTTTTTAATTTGTGAAGCACTGGACTGGAGAAAAACAAAGAATACATTCCATGTGACTATACTATAGGAATAAGAGGCTTTTCTTTCTATTCATTGCCATCTGTTTTTCTTTTCACATACATACAAAACCAAAACCCAATGTCAGAGTCACTTGCAAGTCATATCATCAATCCAAAAAGATACAGAAGAACTTCCCCATGAGATTCCTAAGACTGTAATCTTTATGGGAATAGACCCCTGTATTCTTCAACAGGTGAAGCCACTTGGGTTCAAACTGTCAACCCTTTGGGTTAGTAGCCAAATGCTAAACCACTGCACTACCTGGGATCCGTATTTCTAATACCAGAATAAATACCAATGTGCATGTCTGGCTTAAAGATAAGATGTTTGGACCATGGCCTATTAATATATTGGTATCTCACCTGAATCTTAAGCACTCCAACCACCTGGGCTGTAGGTGGTGTGATGGTGAACTTCCATTCTGATCTCCAACGACCATTCCTACACAGACACAATTACATTACACTGTAGAATTAGCAAAAAGCACAAGAAAGAAGTGATCTGTCATGGGGGCAAAGGTGCTAGGAAAGTGGGGAAGAGAAAGAAACAATCACTTCCATATGCCCACTCAAGTACAAATTTTGATCTAAGGAGCCTAGTTATAAGTCTTCTCTAAGTAATTTTGACTTTCATTTTCCTACTTTTTTCTTAAAAGTAGAAAATTGTTGTATTCTGCTCAAAGGAGGCCATAAACAGATGGATGCATCACTGAATTATGTAACTAACTCAAGTATTATTAACCTCAGCCTAAGTGAAATTTAGACTTCTAACTGGGCACTTCATTAACCTCTGAATCCCATTCAATAAGAGAGTACTTTAAAAACCAGATTACAAAATCTTACAATTGGAAGGAATCTAAATGATCATGTCTCAACACTCCATTTTACAGATGGGGAACGTAAGTCTAAGAGTCAAATAACTAAGTCTCAATTGGAGAGTTCTTTCAAATACAACTAGGAACAAACAAACAAGAACTTCTTTTTTCTTACCAGAAGTTTTTAGGTTGAAACTGGTGGCTTTCAATACATGCAATAATTGTCTGTTGTCCATCTATAGTTTTAGCATAAACCTATTGGTAAAAAAAGAAAAAAAGAATTAGACCCTGAAAACAATTTAATCTAACCACAGACTATACAAAAACAGTGTGCTTAGGGAAGACAGCGTCAGACAGAATAAGCTCACGAGACAATAAAGTTAACAGGATTTGAATACAAAGCCAAACATGTCCAGTTCTGGAAGAGACAGTGGTACTACAATGAATACAAGAAGAAACATTGTTTTTCAATTAGGGTACAAGGGAGAAGGTGTTTAAGCTAGGCCTTATAAGACAACTGAGATTCTGATCGTCAGAGACTAAGAATAAAGATGAATAAAGAGTTGGGCAGGAAACAGCCTTGTTCACTGGAACAACAATTACTTCTGTCCGATTAGAGGGAATGTGATATGGATTGGTGAGATACAAAATAGGATGGGCAGTTCAGATCAGACAATTAAGAAGTTTGGGTTTTATCTTACAGGCACTGGAGAGACAACTACACGACAGGACCAGAGCTGCTATTTGGGGAGAAGACTCAAACACTGGTGCGGGGTTAAATGGGAAAAACAAAAGACCTGCTTACTGGCTAGGTGACCCTGGCTTTAGTTTAGGAAGTGAACTAGGACAGCTATCAATGGGGCTGGAAAGGAGGGGTCATACACAGAATGCAGAAGTACAATCTCAGTGTAGTCCTATACAGCAAGTAAAGAGCCAAGGAAGCAGCTCAAGTGACTACAGGAAGAATGACGAGGAAGATGGTTATGCTGCATGCTGTCAGGTTTCTCGGGTGGGAATACCTTGTTCTTGGCTCCAAACGAGAAAGAATTCATGCCAAGGCCTGGTTTATGATCCAAATGGGTTTCTATAAAGGACGGAAGAAGCTTCTGGTTTTACTGTCACTGACCATGGGCAATCTTATGGGACTGCAGGCGCACACAAACACACACACATGTAGTAGCCTGAGGCCTGAGAGACCACAGCAAGGACAAGCTGGGCGAAAGACAGGAGCCAAAGGGCTAAGAAGAGGCAGGGCAGTGATCTCAAGGGCAAGGTATTCTGAGGCCTTGTGCTCAAAGGTATTGGTTGACCCCATTGGCTGAATTAAGCCCGCCTGGGCCTAGTTTGGCCACCCAGGTGTACCACCCACCTTGCTGGGGAGGGGGGAGAGCTGAATTTGGAGCATGCCCAGACAGTTTTTATAGCTGGCTAAGGGGACCTTCAGGCAATGTAGAGGGACCACTCCCCTGTCCCTGATCGGCTACTAACAACTTAGGGAATCCAGACAGAAATGTGCTGCAAGTGGTGAGAAACATCAACTATTCCTTAGTGTGGGAGAGAGAAGTGATCAGTTGGAGGAAGCAAGCAGTGCTCTACAGTTCACACAACGTGCTTTCTCTCCTGGCGTGCTTCTCTTTACCTAGAAAACTTGTTCCTCAGTCATCTTATGAAGGAGCTACAAACCTTTCTGAAGTCCCATACAGCACTTCTTCCTATACATCTTTCTTTCCCTTTCTCCCCTTGCCTGGCCCTTCCTCACATCTACCTACTTATTTTCCTCATCTCTCTCTCTCTGCTTCATAACCAGAATAAGGAGCATTCTAATTTTACTTGTTCCGTTCCTGTCAACTTCTTAACCCAATGAATTCTGACCCGGGGCTCATTTACATAAACTGTTTCTAAATTGCCTGATCTGGATCTTGATTCTTCACTTCTATGTGTGGTATTTTACAGTGAGGTGCACAACCTTTGTCTAGAAAGTAACTTTGACCTATGATGCTATATCAGCGCCCTCTAATAAAATGTGGAGGGCTGAGTTTCTGTTGGAGGATGATGAAAAAGGTTTGGGATATATGATAGAGAAAACATGATAGGAAATAAAGAAATAAAATTAAGAATTAGTAAACTAAGCAGAATACTTCAAAAAAGCACATTACAATGAAATGTGCAAAGACCTAGAGTTAGAAAAACCAAAAGGGAAGGACACACTTGGCCTATCTCAAGTGGAAAGTACTGAAAAAGAAAGTCACACCTTGAGTTGCCATATTGAAGGACACAATGGGTAAAATATTGAATGATGTAGGAAGCATCAATGAACCCTGGTGGGGTAGTGGTTATGCACTGGGCTACAATCTGCAAGGTCAACAGTTCGAAACCACCGGCTGCTCCTCAGGAGAAATACAGGTTTTTTACTCCTGTAAACGGTTACTGTCGTATAAACGCACAAGGGCCATTATGAATCAATGGCAGTAAGTGGGGTTTGGTTGGAGGAAGCATTAAAGGAATATGCAGAACCGATGTACCAAAAAGAACTGGCTGACCTCCACCCATTTCAAGAGCTGACCTAGGATCAAAACCCAATGGTACCAAAAAAAGAAATCTAAGGTGTCCTGAAGGCATGACTGAAAAACAAGACTGCAGGAACTGATGAGATACCAGCTGAAATGCTTCAACAAACTGATGCAGTGCCAGAAGCATGCACTAGTCTATGCCAAGGAATTTGGAAAACAACAATCTGGCCAACCAACTGGAAGCAATATGTTTTTGTGTCCATTCTAAAGAAAGGTGACCAAAAAGAATGTAGAAAATATTCAACAATATCACTAATGTCATATGCAAGTAAAATTTTGCTGACTATAATTCCAAAAACACAGTAATAGCATACCAATGGGAGCTGCCAGAAATTCAAGTTGGATCCTTGGAACAGGAAGGGGATATCATTGCTAATGTCAGATGGATATAGGAGAAAGGAGAGAATATCAGATGTTTACATGTTTCTCATTGACTATGTAAAGGCATTCATCTGTGTTGGTCATAACAAACCATGGATAATATTGAGAAAAATGGGAATTCTAGAACATTTAATTGTGCTCAGGAGGAATATGCACAGAACAGACTAAGAGGCAGTCATTCTAACAGAACAAAGATATAACGCATGGTTTAAAATCAGGAAAGGGTGGAGAGAGGGGGAGAAAGGGGGAACCCATCATAAGGTTGGATATATAATACCCCCCAGGGGGAATTAATAGCAGAAAGGTGGGTAAAGGGAGACAACAGACAGTGTAAGACACAAAATAACAACAATAATATATAACTGATCAAGGATTCACAAGGGTAGGACGGTGTAAGAGGGAGGAGAAAAAAAAGAGGTGCTGATACCAAGGGCTCAAGTAGAAAGAAATTGTTTTGGAAATGTTGATGGCAACATATGTACAAGTGTGCTTAATACTATTGAATGATGGATTGTTATAAGATTTGTAAGAGCCTCCCTCCAATAAAATGATTAAATAAAAATCAGGAAAGATGTGGGTCAGGCTTGTATCCTTCCTCTAAAACAACCTGGAATATACAGATCACCACTACACATCACACCACTGTGCTTGCTGAAATCCAAGGGAACTTGAAGCGCGTGCTAATGAAAATTAAAGACTACAGCCTTCAGTATAGGGTATTGAAGGATTAAATAGAAAGAAAAATTGCCTCACAACTGGACCAAAAGACAACATCATGACAAATGGAAAAAAAAGATTGTAAGTTGTCAAGGATGTCATTTTACTTATATCCGCAATCAATGTGTTCATGGAAGCAGCAGACAAATGAAACAGCACACTACACTGGGCATATCTGCTGCACAAAATGTCTTTATAGTAATCAAGAACAATGACGTTACTTTGAAGAAAGAATAAAGGTGAGCCTGACTCAAGCCATGGTATTTTCAATTACTCATATGCATGTGACAAGAAAATGAATAAGAAAGACCACAGAAGAATTGAGGCATTTGAATTGTGGTACTGACAAAGAATACTAAAAGTCCCTAGGAGTACTAGAAGCACAAACAAGTAGTCTTGGAAGTACAGCCAGAATATGCTTCATAGAAACAACGATGGCGAGACTTTGTCTCATGTACTTTACACACGCTATCTAGCGAGAAAAGTCCCTGGAGGAGGACATAACGCTTGGCAGAGTAGAGGGTCTGCAAAAAGAGGAAGCCCCTCAGGAGATGAATTGACACCGTGGCTGCAACAATGGGCTCAAGCATAACGATTGTGAGGATGGTGCAGGACTGAGCAGTGCTGTGCTCTGCTGTACACAGGGTCTCGATGAGTCAGAGCCAACTGACGGAGCCTAACAACAAAAAGCAGGATAGCGGAGAATGCAAGACAATTGTGTGCAACTTTGTACCGTTAGAACAATTCCATGACTTTCTTTAGCTCATTTGATAGCTAAGAGAAGTAGTAAAAAAGGAGACAGGTTATTTGGTGTTGGAGCGCTCCAAATTAAGATTTTCCGAAAGTCTAGACTGACAAATATGAGTAACTAATAAGTTTAAAGTATATTAAGGCTTGAAGTCACTTTCAAAAAGGTGGCACGTCATATCTTCTTTGCAATAGTGGATTCTCAAAAGAATTCTGCACTTATCTACAGGAGTGGATTTTCCCCATTATTTAAAAGATCAAAGTTATAATGATGTGTAACATTTATGCAGCACTTAATATGGGCCGATACTGTTCCAAGCACTTTATATGTATAAACGTATTTGATTTTTACCACAACCCCATGAAGCAAGAACTATTATTTTTAATTTTTTTAACTAATTTTATTGGGGGCTCATGCAACTATCACAATCTCCATGCAACTATCACGTCAAGTGTGCAAAGCACATTTGTACATTCGTTGCCCTCATCATTCTCATAACATTTGCTCTCCACTTGGGCTCTTGGAGTCAGCTCCTCATTTTTCTTTTTTTTTTCCTTGCAAGAACTATTATTATTTCCATTTTACAGATGAGAGAATTGAAGCACAGAAATGTTGAAATTACAGGGATAGGAATCAAATCTGTTATTATGGCTTCAAAGTAAGTGCTCTTAACTACACTATTCTATACTACCACTCAGTTTATCATCATTACATACATATTTAAAATACCTTAACCAACATTTTTCTTAATAATATGGCACAATTTTACAAGGAAGAAATAATAGAGCCAAATTTAATATTTTTAAAGTCTAAAGGTACTTAAAATCAAATAGCTATAGATTTATAAAAATTTAGTTCAATTACTTTGTAAAGCTACATGTGCAAAAAGGCCTTAAAAATGACCCACAGCTATCCTCAACAATTATACGTTACCCTTTTTCTCCCCATGTGTAAGCTACAGACCTTTAAAAAGGCTTTTTTGGAGGGTGGGGGTAGGGTGTGGGCGTAATGGGCATAAGGGAATTTCAGATGAGCAAATTTGAAAACAAAGAATACACACAAAAAATTTAAATATATCCTTCACCCTTACTGGGATTGAAAAACAATTATTTTCCATCTATATATCCTTTTCAAGAATGACTTAGGATATAAAATGACTTAGGAGATCAAAACTAAGAAGAAAGAAGTGTTCATCTGATCAAAGACCCCAAAGAAGAGAAGGTAAAAATAAAAATCACAACATTCTCTGACAACGAAGCAGGTACTTAACAGTACTGAAGCCGCTGGAATAATGATCTTTCACGTAGGCCCTCAGGGCACTGTCACAGGAGTCTCTCCAAGACTTCAGGCTTCCATCTACCTCCTCTGAGTGGGGGTCACTTGCTTCTTTCCGTAAGTGATCAAATTTAAAGGAAATTTTGTTTCTTGGATCTAAAAATCTGCTGTTACCCAGGTCACCATGTTCTGTAATTAAGACCTTTGAAAGAATAATTACACAGACATAAATAACTTTATCAGAAATAAAATAAAGTTTAATGCTGTATTAGAAAAGCAAACAAGGAAATTAAAAATTCGAGAATAAGAGCTAATTTTTCATGTTCTCAGATTTCCCTTTAATATTGATGTATCATTCAAGTCTCATCTTCATTCTTAGAGAAATTATATTTATGAGTAAGTCAACTTTATTCTGCAAAGTCTTCCCATTCTAACACTATCTTTTATATCTCACATGTACAGTTTACACATAACAGGAATATTTACTTTGCTCCTGTTTTCCCATCGCAACTACGGTTTCTCCATTAAATATTTTCTTATTCCTACCAGAAATAACTAGTTTACACATTGCTTACAGATAGCTATAGTACTTTGTATGTACAATTTTGCATTCTATTTTAATTCATGCCATTACACTTTTCCAGTCATATTTAAAATAGGCCATACATTCAAATGGTTTAAAATTTAAAACTACACATACACACACTCGCTCTCTAACAGTGATGTATCTCTCTCATTTTATCTCCCACCCACCAAAGTTCTAATAAACTGAATTTATCTAGATAAGAGTTGACAATTTGCATATAGGTGTCACTTATTTTTTAAATTGGAGCATAGCCTTGCTTGTTCTTTTTTGTATTGTTAAGGGCTACTCTCCCATTAAGGATGAGTCAAGACAAATCCAACATTCTGCAAAGCTGAAAATATTTACTATCTTGTCTTTTACAGAAAAAGTTTGCTAATCCAGAATTCAAATTTATAAAGTACAAGCAAATATAAGTATGCATTCTAATTTTCTAACACCTACTTTCACACGAAACTAGCATACTGTACACTTAGAGCGCTTTTTTGGGTTTCAATTTAATATACCAGAAGATTTGTCCCTATTAGTGCTCAGATACCTTCTTTGTCCTTTATCACTGCTATATAATATTCCTTTGTACAGATGGACAAAATTTTATTTAACCAGTCACCTATTAAGGAATTGTGGGAAACCGAAAACCGGGAAGAGAGTGTATGCTGGACAAACTCTCAAGGTTATAGTTAAGGAGTCAGGGGCTCCCATGCAGGGGAACCTTCACATTCATAAGCTGGAGATGAGCTTCAGTCAATCTCCTATGTAAAAGTCATTCCCCTTAATGTACCCCCATAATAATGACAAATTTAAGGTGCTGTTGGCAAACACATGGTCGTTTACTATATGCTTGAAGGCCAGCTGCTTGAAGGTTGTCTACCTTCAAAAGCAATCAGACCCTATGGTAAGTAAGTAAGTAAGGCCTTACTGTAGGCAAGGCCTACTACCTTCTGATAAGGATCACAGATTATTCCAAAAGTTCAGACACCTAAGGTCAAACTAGCTCAGAAAAGACCAAGGTTAGGGTGCCATCTTAACTATAGAGCCCACCCATCTTTTTAAGTACAGTATGTGCCTTCCTGTTACATTGTATGCCTCTACACTCTCCCCTTCCTATTGTGTGCATGCTCCTAGCTGGTCCCCCTCCTGTTATGTGTATGCCTCTTGTACAACCCTTCCTGTTACCTATGTGTTTACCATGGCTTGTGTGCCTGAGATAATATATATGCTTGTGAGAAATACATTATATTCTTTCTCTGCATAGACCTGGCTCCTGAAGACATGACGGAGGTGAGCACCGCAAAACTTTAGTCTGTCTCTTAATTTCTTCCCTTCAATTAATCCCTCATTATGGTTTCAGCCAGCATGAAAGAGGTGAACCTTTGTATGCTTTATCTTATCTGATGTCTCTTTAATTCACCCCTCAATTACATAACCACCCCTCGGACCCATTCGGTTGTGGAGGTAGTCCCCACATTGGATGACTGGACTATTTTCAATCTTTCATTGTTAACAATATTGCAACAAATATTCTTTTATATTCATCTTTCTGCACACATGGTAAGTACATATGTGAGAAAGATTCCCTGAAGTGGGGCAGTTGGGTCAAGGAGAAAATGCATTTGTAATTTTGACAGTGGATGACAAATTGCTCTTTATCATAACTTATAGTAGAAGCTATTTCTGATAAAGTTGCAGCATAACTTTTGCACCTTCTACCTTTTTGCTTCCTCAACCATGGATACAATACCCAAAGATGGAGCCACCATCTTGATAGTATGACTATGCAAATCACATAACCTAAGGACTGCAAGAGAGAGCTAGAGACACTTTGGTTCTCTGATGTTATCATGGAGCTGCTAATAGTCCTAAATATTACCACTAATGCTCCTTATGGAAGAAAAATAAAATCTATATTTAGTTCATTCACCACGGACTTTTGTTGCTCTATACAGTGAAGGTACCTATTTTAATAACTCTTATCTTTATTTGTTGTGGGGGTGGAGGGAGAAGAGGATGTTTACTACAAAGAATATAATCACCTTTGGCTACATTTTTTTTTCTTTTCCTTTTTTAACATTTTATTAGGGGCTCATACAACTGTTATCCCAATCCATACACACATCAATTGTGTAAAGCGCATTTGTACATCGTTTCTCAAAACATTTTCTCTCCATTTAAACCCCCGACATTAGGTCCTCATTTTTCCCCTCCCTCCCCGCTCCCCCCTCCCGCATGAGCCCTTGATAGTTTATAAATGGGTATTTTGTCATATCTTGCCCTGTCCGACGTCTCCCTTCATCCACTTTTTGGTTGTCTGTCCCCCAGGGAGGAGGTCACACACAGTCCCATGTAATCGGTTCCCTCTTTCCTACCCATTCTCCCTTTACCCTCCCTGTTTTGCCACTCACACCACTGGTCCTATAGGGCTCATCCGTCCTGGATTCCCTGTATTTTCAGTTCCTATCTGTACCAGTGTACCTCCTCTGGTCTAGCCAGACTTGCAAGATCGAATTCGAGTCATGGAAGTGGGAGCGGGGAGGAAACCTTTAGGAACTAGAGGAAGGTTGTATTTCTAATCATTGTTACATCGCACCCTGACTGGCTCATCTTTGGCTACATTTTTAAACTGTATTATTACTGGTATATTTGGAATTGACAAAAGTTAGCCATTAATCATATTTATTATACCTGAACACAGACCTTATATAATGCATGTTTATTAAAGTATATAGTATCAATTGCAATCAGTATTGGCCACTTTTTTCATACTTTCTTTTGCCTTTTATATTTGTAGTTAATCTATTTTCATTGAGAAAATGTAGGTAAGCAAAAAATATTAACCAACACAAAGAAAAACAATAAACAAATTTCCAGTAATCCTGTAATTCTAATACATATATGTTGGTGTAGCCCTTCCCAGATGTTTTCTTCTCTGCATTTCTGTATACTTGAATTCTAAAGATAAATATTTTCCCACATGATTTAACATTTCAGAAATTGGGAGCTGGCCTACATTTGATGGTCTCTTAAGACTGAGTTATAATTTAATTGGCATTGTTTTTCCTTACTTAGTGGTACATAAAATAACCGCGCCTTTCATACAATTTAGGATATGAGTGTCTAAACTGTATATATGCCCATGTAAATATTTTTCCCATGTAAATATTAAAAATAAAATTGGCATAATTCTCTGTAGGCTGCTTTATACCATATTTTAGCTTAATATATCATGCACATCTTTCCAGATCAGTAGATATCCACTTATATCAGTTTTCAATGACTGCACAGAATTCATGAATAGTACTGGGCATTTAGATTTTTCCCATTTTGACTATTATAAACTTAGCTTTGAATAATCTTTTTTGCACATTCATATAATTACTTCCCTGGGATGAATTCTGTGAACTTGTTTATTCAAAGAGCATTTGGACTTCCAAATTGTGTCATATGGTCTTTGAAGCATATTTTAGTATATATGCAAAGAACTACAGTAGTAACAGGAATATTTACTTTGCTCCTGTTTTTCCAATAGGAACTTCTTTGTTTCTCCTCCACTAAATATAATGTATCTTCTTATTCTTACCAAGAGATAACTGGGAACAATGGGAAAACTTGTGGATTCAATTTCTTTTATTTTCACTATTCACTAGGAAAAGTTGTTTTTTGTCAAAGAAATTACCAGTATTACAGTGATAAAGAATTTCTTAAAAACAGAATATCTGCCAAAATTATAAAAATTAATAATTGACTCAGCATCTGATTTAAACATATGCTTGGTCTCTAAGGTGTCTGCTACCTGAAAAACTGTAGTCTACATAACAAGAACAACGATTACCTGATCTTCAAATCCTTCTATCTTCACGGGTGTGAACTGATCCATGTTATACTGGGCAAATGCACTGGTGGTGTTTTTTAAAGTGAAAAAGAAAAAGTTGGTGAGAAGCAGAGAAAAGAATTATAAACAAAAACAAAAGGTCTTTCATAGACCAGTGAAAAGAAGCATGAAAACATTACCTAGTGTCCCCACCCTAGGCCCCTACATCCAGTATCATAACCCCTCCTCCAATTTTCTAAAGGGATGCCTCTCCACGGAGATCTCAGGAGCCAAAGCTTTGAAATTACCCTTTCTTTTCCACTCCTAAGCTCCAACAGAATTCCATTTTGGCAATTTCTAAAATTTAAGCAATCACATTATTATGAAGTGGCAACAGTTTTAATCATTTACAGTTTTTAATCTCAAGAGTAAATTTTAAGACACAAAGCGAGGTCAAAAAATGCCTAAGCCTAACACTATGGTTTACTGATTAGTTTAATGCTTCATTTCTGAAGCTCTGCATTTTTAATGGCTTTATTTCTTTTTCATTTTTAAAATCATTTTATTGGGGCTCTACAGCTCTTATCACAATCCATACATCTATCGTGTCAAGCACATTCGTACATATGTTGCCATCACCATTTCCAAAACATTTTCTTTCTACTTGAGCCCTTGGTATCAGCTCCTCATCCTGTCCTGCTCCCTCCCTCATGAACCTTGATAATTTATAAATTATTATTTTTCATGTCTCACACTAACTGATGTCTCCCTTCACCCAATTTTCTGTTGTCCGTCCCCCTGGGAGGTGGCTATATTTAGATCATTGTGATCAATTTCCTCTTTCTCCCCCGACCTTCCCCTTCCCCTCCTGGTATCAGTACTCTCATTATTGGTCCTGAGGGGTTTGTCTGTGCTGGATTCCCTGTGTGTACATGTTCTGATCTAGCCAGATTTATAAGGTAGAATTGGGGTCATGAAAGTAGGGGGGGATACGGACAACAGAAAAGTGGGTGAAGGGAAACAGGGCAAGATATGACCAAATAATAATTTATAAACTATCAAGGGCTCATGAGGGAGGGGGGAGCGGGAAGGAAGAGGAAAAATGAGGACCTAATGCCGGGGGCGTAAGTGGAGAGGAAATGTTTTGAGAATGATGAGGGCAATGAATGTACAAATGCGCTTTACACAATTGATGTATGTATGGATTGTGATAAGAGCTGCATGAGCCCCTAATAAAATGATCAGGAAAAAATAGATAAATAAAAGAAAGTAGGGGAGGGGAGGGCTGAAATTTAATGGCTTTCTTGTTCATGCTGCAAAATAAGTTAAAAGATAAAGATTAAAATATCACTCCCCCAAAAAGCATAATACATTCATATTCTTGGAAAGTAATGGTCTCCTGACAAGATTCACTTGCCAGCAGGAGAGCTAAACATCTTCCCAGTCCAATTTTCTCCTACTAAATACCTACTAGATCACTATTTTATCTTTTGGCCAAAGCATAATAAATATGTGGGACATTCATTTCCTCAATGTATAAACACAATGTTAATTGGTAATAATAAAACAATAATAATAATGTTTGTTAGGAGGATATTGTATTATATTTTATTCTTCATAGCAACTTTTTGAGGTAAGTACTATTATCCTTCCCATTTTCACAACTTAGTAAATAAGAGAATTACATTTGAAATACAAAGATGTGTTATGTATGGCTTATATTAAATCTGCTGCATAAAACCTCTTCAAAGTGCTGAAAAGCAAGAAGGTTACTTTTAGGACTAAGGTGCAATTGACCCAAGCCATGGTTATTTTCATTGGCCTCACATGTATCACCTGGATAAGCTGGATAGTGAATACGGGAGATCAAAGAAAAACCAATGCATCTGAACTAGGTGTTGATGAAGAATGTTAAAAGTACCATGGACTGCCAAAGGAACAAACAGATCTGTCTTGAAAGAAATATAGCAAAAACGATCCTTAGAAGGATAGTGAGACTTCGTCTCACACATACTTTGTTTCACATACACTGGACATGCTGTCTGGAGAGATAGAAGGGCAGTGAAAAAGAGGAAGGCCCTCGACAAGATGGACTGTCACCCTGGCTGCAACAATGGACTTAAACATAGCAGTCATGGTGAAGATGGCGCAGCACCAAGTGATGTTTTGCTCTATTGTACATAAGAGTTGCTATTAATATACGGCACCTAACAACAACAACAATGTATTCCACATAAATCATTCTGTTTAATTATTGGATCATAGAAGGTTACCAAAAAAGAAAACCCAAACAAACAAACTCAAACCCACTGCTGTCAGTGCCCACTCACCATCCCAGTAAAACTGAAAAGTGCCCTCCAGGGTTGCCAAAGCTATGCAAGAGTATGGCAAGAAACTCCCACATCTTTCTTCAGCAGAGCAGCTAGTGGGTTTCAACTACTGGCTTTTGGGTTGGGAGCCTATACTACCAAGGCTACATGTATTACATAATACATCATCAGTTTTCTGTAGAACACTAAACTGTCCCCGGGCTTTTCAAGAAAAATCAAAGCAAGAAACAACTATTTCAGTTTCTTCAAAAAAGGCTAATAATTGTTCTCACTTTTTTATAGTACAAACTATGAATGGGAGACTGTGAGGAACAGGAGGCATGTTATCAACCAGGAAAAGAATTAGGGATAGGAAAGAAGAGAAATGCATGCTTCAGGGAGAGGGTAAAGCCAAAGGAGATGAGGGTGTTTTCTGCTCCTGTAAAGATTTACAGCCTCGGAAACATAGGGTAACATCTGTCAGAACCAACGCAAAGGCAGTAAGTTTTCTGTTTTTGTTTTAATAGGATATGTCCTAAGATAATAGCTGATAAACATCAATACATTTTGTTTCCATTTACCTCATCTGAAGTAAATGGTATCTCCATTCTACCAGTTGCTCAGACCAAAACCTTGGAATGGCCCTTGACTCTCCTTTTCTCTCACACTTCAAATGAAATGCATCAGTAAATTGTGCAGGCTCTATCTTGAATGCACATTCAGAATCTGATTCCTCTTCACCGTCTCCACTGCTACCACCATCTGGTCCAAACCAGTATCATCTATCTGAAACTACTATAAAATAGTGTTCTAAGTATTACCTCACTTCATCCCTCCCTCCCTCCACAGCAGCCAAGAGAAACAAAAGAAAATTTACTCTAAGTGTCATCATGTCACTTTCTGTTTTTATTAGCGTCTCTCGGAAAAGTCTCTGGCTAGGAGTCAAATGCTTAACCACTAAGCCACCAGGGCTCCTTGTTAATTTAAAACAACGTCACAGCTTTATAGGAATAGAAAGCTTCATCTTTCTTCTATGGAGCAGCTGGGTGATGGTTTTAAACTGCTCACCCTGTGGTTGGCAGCCCAAGTCATAGCTCACACGACCAGGGTTTGACATTTCCCTTCTCTCCAGTAAAACTCTCTCAAGTAAAGTACAGTGCAGACACATTTTGGGCCACTTCCAGGAATAAAAGTAAGACCAACTTGGCAGGCAAACTGAAGAATCTTGTGGGACAGAGAATTCCCTTACTGTCAGAAGCATTCAGATTGGAGAACCATCTGTTGAGAGTAAATAGATGGCCGAGGAAGGGAAGAACTTAACTACAAATTATGAATGTCTTTTCCTATGGCAGATGTTACTGCAATCTGTAGTCTGCCTCAGATGCATGGCAACCCCATGCACAACAAAACTGACCAACTGAACCGGAACCACTCCTATAATTGTGGCAGATAGGATCATGTACTCTCTTGGATTTTCAATGGCTGATTTTCTGAAAGTGGATCACTAAACCTTTATTGCTAGTCAATCTTAGTCTGGAAGTTCTGCTGAAATTTGTTCAGCCCCATAGCGGAAGGCAAGCATCCACTGACAAGACAGGTGGTGACTACCCTGAGATGCATTAGCTAGTAGCCAAACCCAGGTTTTCCAAAAAGAAGGTAAGCATTCTACCCCTGGTCTACCATTATACCCTCTGTGGCTTATAAAAAAAACATTCTTAGAGTGTATTCTTAGTGTGTGCCCAGCTTCTCTAAGTCAATGCGTAATTAAGGCATCATTTTTGACAATGCAGAGATGTTATGCAAATTCTAGGTCTCTAGAATTTAGTCTCAAAATGAGTTCCAAAAAGGGGAAACAAAAGATGATTATTTCTAGAAAGCAACTCTTATAAGTTTTTAAGCTAAAATGTAATAATTTATATTCCATATAAAATAAGTTAATGATCATTTTTGTTCCTCTGTATCAAGAAGCCCTTGGCCCTTCTCCTTGTTCCTCCTCTTAACAAGCATAATCCAAACATAAATCTTCTTTACAAAGTAACTCTGGGCCAGTTTGATAGTAACTAAAACAGAACCCTGTGTTTAAGAGCAGAAAGAAATACAATTGGGGAGGAAAAGATAAAACCAGATAGCAAGGAACTGTGAAGGTCAGACAGTGTTTACACTTGAAGAAGCCCAAAAAACCCCCCAAAAAGCATCATAAATGTTTTTGAGGACAAGGACACATGAAAATGATATTTTAGAAAGATTAATTAGCCTGAGAGTGATAAAGAGTAAATAACGAACTAGAATGATGTATTTTATCCTATGATTAATTTAACAATTTATAAAACTGCTATTCTATGGCAATTTGAGAAACATTACCATTCCTCAACAACAGCCTAATATTGGGATAAAACTAAAAACTCTAAAATGAAAATATAACAGCTAACAAACTCTTTACACGTAAGTGAGGAATATTTGGATAGAAATAAAAATAAATAAAATCACATAAGATGAAATAAATAAAGTCAAAGAAGAGGAGACTTTAAAAGGTCCATAAGAAATTTGAAATTTTTCTATGAACATTTTGAAGCCCTCCCACTCCCACCCCATATAAAAACTTTTGAGAAAGTAATGTTTTGGGGGCAAGATATTTCTCCAAGAAAAAAGCAACTAAAACTGCTAAAAAAAATGCCATACTTTAAAATATTTTAAACCTAGTTCTCAAGGTACTAGTTTACTGTCAACATAGCTCGTTATTCATTAGAATAAGATGTAAGTGAACTGACACCAGTACTTACTGTGCTGCCCCTTCCCTGAGGAGATTGTCATTATTAAGTAGAAGTCGGACATCTGAGGAGGAAAATGAATTCAGAAGATTCAGAAGAGGACAAGTTGGGAAAATTTTAGCAGACAACTAGATTTTTTAAAATCAGGCTTTATAAGATTAGTCTTTGAATACGCTGTATGTGTAGACATTCTATAAATATAAATAAAACATGCTATTTATAGGTTAGCATACAATTGTGCTGTAACAATAAATTCTTACGAAATTTCATAGTAAATGAAAATCATAGTTTATAAGATGTTAGGGTGTTAATTTTGTATGTAAAGAATCCTTTAAAAGTAGCATAGATTAAGAATTACAAGTTTTTCAACATTAAGACTAAGAAAACTTCAAAAACCGCTGAAGTCTTTTTTGGAGAATGAAGATTAGGGTTAGGGAGGGTCTAACAACTTTAAAAACTGTGTCATAAGTTCAGTCATCTTTCGTTTGAAGAAGGGGGTCCTTCTCACTGAGAAACTACCAAGCATTCACTCCAAGAAGGAAGGTTCATTATAGCCAAAGGCCAATGATTTTCAGAGCTTCTCATAGGGCTTACAGGGACAAATGTCTAGCAAGCCAATAAAATCCAGCCTTCATGCCACAGCAGTCTGCCAGGTCCTAACTTAATGCTTTGATATTAATTATAATACTTCTGCTAAGTATATTCAGTTGTCAAGAAGAAAACAAGAGTCTTGTAACTACAAAGGAAGCTAATTTTGTTATGAATTTGAGCTAATCAACTGGATAAAGTTCGACTTTAAAGAAAAGTATCTAAAATCAGTTGTTGAAAATGTACATTCAGTGAATGTACAAGATAGATCAGGGAAAGAAATGCAGCATCTCTTTATTAGTTCACAAAATTCACAAACAACTCCATGAAAGAGAATGTCTTGGTTTACTAGTATGGTATTATCCAACTTGATGTGCAAATGTTTCTCCTGGTTACTTCTTCCTCTGCATTATTAATTTTACCAATGTACATTTTTTATTGTTCTACATGTGTGGGGCTCTCAGCCTCAGTTGTAGTCTATTAATATGGCTCTTCTAGCCAAAATTCCTATATGATACATTATCATTCTGGGCTCTATGCCTGTGTCTCTAACCCCTTTTTGCAGGGCAATCTTTGTTAGAAGATTAATATAGGATGTATCTGTAGACACTCTACTAAAGGATGTGACTTACCCGTATATACTCGAGTATAAACTGACCTGACTATCCACCGAGGCACCTAATCTTACCACAAAAACTGCATAAAAAATGTGCTGAAAAACCCGGCTTACACTGAGTATATCTGGTAAGTTACAAAGTTTTGTTTCCTTAGGGCTATGGTCTGCTAAAAGACAAAAACCACACCTCCTTCAAAACCAGTCCTCTGCATTAAGAGTCATCTCAGATGTGTAGGGAAAGCCCAGTATCATGGGAAGAGTCTCTTCCAGTCTTAAGTGGCAGAGGCCGAGACCAGAGGCACCAGAGATTGTGGCATGGAGACTATAGGATAGAGCATGAGAGGCAGGATTGAGGCTCTGGGGCTGTAAGTTCACAGGCAGGCTTCCTAGTTCACAGAAGTAAAGGCCAAAGACCACATGACTGAGAAGAGTCTTGGCTGCTGGCTGAGGAGAGTGTTGCTATGGACCAATGACTATATCCTTACTTGAAATAACCCTTAAATGGCCCTTAATTGAAATAACCTAGTAAGTTCCCTAATAAACCCCCTGAATTGTGAGTGTTGTCTGTGGGTTCTGTGTGGCTACTGCAATGAATTCTCCAACTCAGCATGAAGTAGAGTTGCGAGAAGAATGGTCGGTGTCAGACTAGGTAAAGAAGAACAGAACATGGAGACAGGGGTCAGCAAGAGGCAATAGAGAAGCCAGGAGGTCAGAGCTGGCCATTTGCCTCCCAAGCAGTTTACTGCAGGGCCAGGCATTTAGTTCCTGAAGTAGCTCTACTGTAAAACTAGAATTTCAAAATAAACGTTTGCACTAAGATTTTGATTTTTTAATTAAGGAATCTTCAAGATGAAAATCTGAATGACTTAAAAATGAGGTGTTAATGATTATCTTATCACTAAGTTCCAGAGGCTCTTCATCTCTATTTTTCATCTATAATTTGTCTGGAGTCACTAAATTGTAGGGGAAATGGTAAATGTACTGGAGCAGTGTTTCTCAAACTGGCTGTGATTCAGAATCATTGGGAGAACTAAATAAACCTACTTTTATTGAAGATCTAATTACTGAAATCCTTGAGGGGATGGAAGGATAGAAATTTGCATATTTTTTACAAGTTGGACAAACTATTATGATGTGTCAGTTTAGTTCCTATGGTCCTAAAACCAGTTACTATCAAAGTTATTTGGTTTTGTTGTGACTCCATGTGTCATCATAGACTTATGCTGCACAGGGTTTTAAATAGCTGATTTTTTAGGAAGTAGATTCCAGGCTTTCTTTCCAGCACACTTCTAGGTGATTGAAAGCTCCAACCTTGTGGTTAGCAGCTGAGCACATTATCATTTGCACCACCTAGGGATTCCCCAATGATTTATACTATGACACTCTCTGAAAGAAAGAGTAGAGAAATTTAAACTGTGATTTACAATGAGAAATATAAAATTATGAAAACAATTTAACGGTTACACTGCAATATATCTTTTATATTTGATATTTAACAACTGTGCACTTTCATATTTATTGGTATTAAACTACCCTAAATGGTTTCTCATGTAAAATAGGTGCCCTAATTTATGGGTTAGGAGCATGTTTTTGACTCAGACCAGGTCTGGATCTTTGCTCTGATATTCAGCAGCTGTGTGACCTTGGATAAATTATTTTAACCTTTTTTGAATCTTGACTTCCTCAGTTAGAGCTATAATTTTAGTTGCAAGGATTAGGAGATAGCAAACATTAAATAGATGACAATGATTAATGAGAGCTTAAAATGACAAAACGCTAATCTCTACTCACCATTAAACACTTCATTAAATTCTCCAGGAGGTGCATGAGTGATGAATTTAGCAGCTATGCGTACCTACAAAGAAATAAAATTCACAATAAAAGAATTATAAAACCATATGAAGAGAAAAGAAATTTACAGATATCAAAATGTTTAACACATCCCTTGAAACACAATTTCTGAATTATACTTTTATTATTTGAGTGTTCAGCTTTCTTCTTCATAAAACATACCAAAGCTGTTATCAATAAAGACTTCTCTTCTGATTTGGTACATGCCGATTTTGTTTGTTTTTTTAAAGCTGAATAATCTTAACATACTCCTACAAATACAAAAAATGGAAATCTGCAGGATCTGGGTCAGAGATCACTCAGGCAGGGAAGGCTGCATGTAGTAGCCATACAGCAGCGTAGTGGGCCATGCTGTGATCCGCATGGTCAGCAGTTTGAAAACTGCCAGTATCTCTGTGGGAGAAAGACTGGGCTTTAAACAGTTATAGTCTCAAACCCACAAGGGGTAGCTATGAGTCAGTGAGTTTTTGGTTTTTTTGGTTTCTTCCCCCCTCATCCTTCATATGAACATTGAAGTCAAGCTCTTAAATAAAATATAAGCAAAGCAAAAGGGTATCAATATGAAATTGAGTGTATCTCAATGCAAGGATAGTTCAATGCTACTAAATTATTATAATTTATAAATTAAGAAAAAAATTAAATGGGCAAAAAAATCACTGATAATTTTAATCATGCTGGGGGGGAAAATATCCATTCTGACTGGAATAATTTGGTTGGAATAGTTAAGAAATAGTTGATGCAAATAACAAAAAATACTTTTATGGATGTTTACATTTTTCAGGGAGTACTGGAGGCATAGTGGGCTACATACTGAGCTGTTAACCAAAAGGTTAAGAGATATAAGTCTACCTAGAAGGTCAGAAGTTCGAACCCACAATCAGTTCCTTGGGAGATCATGAGGCTATCTACTCCAGCAAAGAATTTAAGTCTCAGAAACCCAAAAGGGCAGTTCAACTCTGCCTTGTAGGGTTGGCATGTGTCAGCAGTGAATTTTGGTTTGTACAATTTCCATACCGTAAGTGAAATATAAAAACATTTTGCACATGTTGTTGATTTCAATTTCTTTTTGCTCCCTGTCCAATGAATTTAATATTAAGACTTTGTGTTGGCGCCTGATGACATGGAAATTTGGTGGCTAAGCTGCAGACTCTCACTACCTTACTCTAGAGTGTCTAATGCAATCCTTTCCCTTTAAATTCCTTCCTCTGTAAATCATTTTCTTCAATGCAGGCAGAAATCATTTTTGCTGTCCTTGAAAGAGTCCTCATCAGGGCAACCTGCCCAAGAGGTACATGGGCCTGCATACTGTGGGTCAGCAAGACCACTAAGACAGGGGAGGCCAAAAGCCACAGCCATGCAAATATCACCCTGCTGGCTAGCTTGTCACAGTTGGGTCCCATTTGAATCTCTCACCTGCAAGGTTGCCTCTGGCATATGTGTGAACAGGCAGAGTGGTTGAGGGTCCAGTGGTTCAGTGGAGCCTGTGTGTGCAGGTTCACACCTCTACTGTCCTGCTACCCACCTTCACCTGGGACTACTAGTACCAAGAGGGCCATGGATGATGGTCCCATATGCATTGGGACTAGCCCATGCTTGGGTTGTGGCAGCTTCTTATTCAGCCCTCTAGCCGAACTTCCACCATCTGCGGTGTGATGTACCAGAGCACAGATCGGATACAAGACACCCCACTGCTCTCAGGCCCTACCCTCAAACTGCCTCAGAGAGAAAATCCACAGTTCCAACTGTGTACCACTGACCTCTTGACCATGGCATATACCTTATCATACAAATATGATCAAAAGTAACATTTATGGAGCTGTCCCATGCCATACATGGTTTATGCATGGGCCATAACTAGGCCAGAACATTTTTTTGAATGTAATGTCATCATTTTTGTCCATTATACGAGATGGTTTCAAATTCCATTATCTTTTAATTCCATTTTTTCACGAATTGAAGTCCCCTTATACGTATGTAAATATTATTTGTTATATAATATTTATACTTATCATTATTAATATTTGTGAAGGGGGAGGTTCTATAAACTTCTTTAATTTGTGATTATCTATCTATTAGAACTCTACAGCAGATCTAATGTGAATTGAATTGTGTTCCAACAATGTGTTGTAAATCCTAATCCTTATACTTGTACTTAAGGAGGCCTGGGTTTTATCTATTGAGCTGTGAACCACAAATCTAGTGGTTCAAACTTACCAGTCTCTCTGTGAGATAAAGATGAGGTTATCTGCTCCTATATAGATTTAACAACGTTCCTAATGCTGCGACCCTTTAATACAGCTCCTCATGTTGTGGTGACCCCCATCCATAGAATTATTTTTGTTGTTACTTGATAACTGTAATTTTGCTAGTTATGAATCGTAATGTAAATATCTAAATGCAGGATGTATTTTCATTGTTACAAATTGAACATAATTAAAGCATAATGATTAGTCACAAAACAATATGTAATTATATACTGTGAAATATTTATTTCTAATAACAAATAAATGAAATTTTGTCTTGAAGCATGGTGTAGCATGGGTAACAGTCTTCACGCCGGTTACTCGTATGTGGGTATATGTGCTTGTGGGTGGACCCGCCTGGAGATGAATAGAGGAGCAGTGTCTAGGTTACTACGACCATCGGAATTATGCGTTTTCTGAGGTCCTAGGCAACCCCTGTGAAAGGGTCATTCAACATCCCCAAAAGGGATTACAACCCACAAGTTGAGAACCCCCGATTTAAGGCCTCAGAAACCTAAAGGGGCAGTTCTACTGTGTCCTACAGGGCTGATATGAGTTTGGTTTTAGAGTTTATACCTCTAGTTATAATCCCCTTTGGGGATTGATTTTTTATGTTCATGAGCCAGTACTAGTATAGTGTATGTCTTTATCAATCTCTGAAGCAAGCAAGAAACTCACTCTCTTTCATCAAGTCAATGCTGACACATGGCAACACGAAGGGCAGAGTAGAACTTGCCCTTGTGAATTTCTGAGACTGTAACTCTTTATGCGAGTAGAAAGGGCAGATAAAAGATGTTGAAAATGCCCTTATATTTGATATGATCAAGAGTATTACAGTAACTAGCCAGATGATTCACCTCACTGACATGTATCACAAAGGAACCCAGTATATCTATAATAAAGTAAATCCTGCTTCCAGAATGCTATCCTTTGTTGACTTAATTTACTACAAGCAATTTTAAGTCTCTGATAACCCTTCCAAATTGAGGTTACCATCAAAGTAAAATATACTTATTTTATTACTATTAATTTTTTTAATAAATCCTTTTATTGGGAGCTCTTACAGCTCTTATAACAATCCATACATCAATTGTATCAAGCACATTTGTACATACATTGCCATCATCATTTCCAAAACCTTTAAAAAAATACTTTAAAAAGTCTTTGGGACTGAGAAGTGAATTAGAAGACACAAATATTTTATGTTAGCATCCCTAGGTTTATATTGTGACCTAGTTCTTATTCTAAAAATAATAAAAGAAAAGCTATTTCATGACCAAACGAGTCAAGAAAAACCAACAGGTGAAGAAATGTGGGTTCTAATTATTGGCTTTGGTAGTCTATTAACTAATTAGCTTTGAGATCTGACATTGTAAATATATTTAGCCCTAATTTTTATAATCTTGCATTATAATCAGAGCTTCATATAGTTCATCTTAAAATTTTTCTTTTCAGCTATTAACTCCAATAAGACAAGTCATGATATGTGAATTATCTATAATCATGATCGAGTCCACACAACCACCACCTGAACAATATTCTTGTGCACATAAAGTTTGAGAATTTACAGATAATATAACATTTTTCTAGGAAGCACTCCATATAGGCACCTTTTAAACTGGGCAATAACAAAATCAACCAAACTCAATGTCATCAAGTTGATTCTGACTAGCAATACTACAGGACAGGGCAGAACTCTCCCCATGGGTTTCCAGGGCTGTAACTCTTTATGGGAATAGAAAGTCTATTTCTCCCTCAGAATGGCTGGTAGTTTTCCACTGATGACCTTATAGTTAACCACCCAACGTGTAATCATTACGCCACCTGAGCAGCAACATGGTGGCTTTAATCAGAAAGAAATGCTCAACTCATAAAAATTACTACAAGGGAGAGGGCCATGTCTGATCAGAGCACAGAGGAGCAAACGAAGGGGGAGGAAGACAGAGTGGAGCACATCCTGGCCCACCAAGCCTTGAGGACGATATTCCCGTTCAGAGCAGCCAATCCACAGAGAAGACCACAAGGCCAGTGCCACTATGAGACACAACATCCTACAGGGGACAACACTGGAGACACAGCGTGGGAATTCTGCCCGATCTGATCCCACCACACCGAGGCAAAACACTAAGGGCATGCAACAGAACAGCAAGGGGAGCAGAGCAACAAAGTCCCCAGGGATTACCAAAAATAGACTTTGGGGCCAGGGCTTGGCACCCCAACAGACTTAACTGGAAAACGCTCCTAAAGGCCAATAAATAGTCCTTGAACTAACTACAAGGTTTTCTTTCTTGTTGTGTTTAGTTTTACTTTTTTGTCATTGGCTTGTTGTTTTATTTTGTTGCTTGATTTTGTTCTGTCTTGTTTTTGTGCATGTTATTATCTCCGCAGGCCTGTCTAAATAAGATAGGCTGGATGAACAATCTGGAGGTGAAAACAACGGGACCGACAGTTCCGGGGGGACATGGAAGAGGGGCAGG